AATCAGGAAAAGTGCAGGGAAAAAGGGAAAGGAAAAAGAAAGCAATAAGATAAAAAGAGTGATCACCCATCCATTATCATCCATTAGCATAAATCATTAGCCACTTCTATAGTATCTTCAATCAACCATTAGCAAAAATCATTATCTTCCCCAAAATTAGAAAAACAACTTTTAAGTCCCCTGAAAAAAAATTGTAGACGCATGAAATTTCACATTGACACTATAATTTTTTCCAACCACAAAAATAATAAAATTTCACATTGATGGATTATAATTTTCTCCAACCATAAAAAAGAAATGAAAACCTCAAGTAAACAAAAAAGAAATCGCAAATCAAGAAAAGAAGCTTTCAATCCATCCACCAAAAAAATGAAAGAAAGAAAGGCAATATATTGAAAACAAAGAAAAGAAAATTTCAAATGAAAATAAAGCGCCAAAAAAAAAACTCAACTTGCACTCAAGAAAGAAAAGAAAAGAAAAGAAAGCTTCAAAATATTGAACTAGAAAAGGTGGAAGAAACCATCAACACATTAACTAAAAAGGTTGATTAGAAAAGAGGTGGCCAATAGTCCAAAAAGACTTTAAGTTTTGGTGGGATGAGAGATCACCACTTCAGACTTTGGTTCGGTTTGATAAATGAGTTTTATGGGTATTAGTTTAAAAATTCACTATAAATGATGTTTTACGGATTTTTCTATCTTTCTCACAGAATAATAGAAATGGGTAAATCATTATCATCCTCGCAAACTAGGATGCCTTTGTACTAACATCATGGCCGAATTTTTCCGTCTTCGTTTTTAAAAACTTAAATAGATTCAATGTGTACTGTGTACATCATCAATGGATAAGTATGCTCACTTAGTCATTTAGACATTTTCTATATTACCATACATATAATTGGGAAATCAAAATTAACACTCTATCAGATTTTTTTACGTTTCAAATTAAAATTTCTACAGACAAATGCTACGTTTTTGTACGAAAACAAAATTCCCATTATCTCTAAGTTCATTTGAAAATCTAACATAAAAAGACCAAAGAAAAATTCAGAAGAATACTTGGTTGTTGATGGCTATTGATGCTTTCTCCTTAACAAATCTTCTCATTTCTCCATGCTTGCAAAAGCACATATGTTTAGACCTACCCGCAAAGAGGCTAATATGGAGAAGAATGTACTGGTGGCTACTTAGAAAATGCATAAATTAAACCAAGTAATTAAAGGGGGTTTTGCAGTTTAGCAAGACAAAAAATGATTTTTAACTCTACAAATTTGGCTCACTTGCTTTCAAAAAGGAAGAATCCACGTGGCAGCCAATGGTAACAAGGGGACAGAGGGACAGGAGTAGTTCTGGGGACAGAGGATGACAAGCCGTAGAAGTTATAGTAAAATTTGTAAGATTTGTAAAACTTTTTCTTTTCTTTTTCTTTCTTTTTCCTTTTCTTTCCTCTCCGCTTCTTCTCCCTCACCTCACCAATTGTCAGCCGCTGGCGCTCAAACCTCCGCCGACAACAGGCGCTGGCAGTTGCAGTATTATTATTTTTTTCTTTTTCCTCTCTTTTTCTTTCTCTCCCTCTCCCCCCTTCCTTTTCTCCTCCCCTCCCCTTCGCAAATCACTCGACTCAATCTGGTGGCACTATCTGGCCGTGTGACCAGATTTGGTCACGTGGTCAAATCTACTGGTCACGCGGTCAAATCTAGTCGTGCGGTCAGATTGCCGGGGAAAAGGGGAGGGGGAGGGAGGTGGCGGGAAATAGGGGAGAAGAAAGGGAGATGGGAGGGGAGGAGGGGAGAAAGAGAGATGAGGAGAGCGGAAAAGCAAAAAAAAAATCTACAATTATCGGCGCCGACAGTCGGCAATTGGTGAGGAGGAGAGGGAGAGGAAGAGTGAGAATAAAAAAAAAAAAAACTTACCTTTGCCGACACCAGCGCTGGAAGAGATGGTCGGCGTTTGGCGTTGGCGGCGAAAGAGGTGATCAACGCCAAATGTGGTGATGGGTTGATATGGGGGAGGAAGAAGAAGAAAGGAGGAAGAAAAATCTTTTTGGTGTGTTTCAGATATTTTGAAGTATATAATTTAAATTTTTTTTGAAATTATTATAGTTAAAGTTATTAAAAAAATGGAGGAGACAAACTTGGACAAAAACTCATTTGCCAAACAAACCCTTTGTCTGTCATCACTTGCTAATATATGGCTTGCTATTTTATGCGGTGCGTAGATTTTGTATGTTCCTCCTCTTTTAGTTATTGAGGTCGCACAAAGCGTTGGTGCGTTGGCTGATATGTTTCGCTTCCGCAGCGCAGAACCGCAGATTGATTATTGCCACCGGCAAAGAATCTGTTAGGATCTGAGAGGTAAATTTTCCAGTTTGGTCTGATTATTGAAGGAAAGAAGGAAGAATGAGGAGAGAGTGTGAGAGAGGGAGGTGAGCAGAGGAGAAAGAGAGGAATGAGAAGGAGCAACTGAATTCTGTTATTACTTGCCAACTCTATATGTCTGGGCCCCCTTTATTACCTTTCCTCTAATACGCTACTAACTGCCTTAACTAACAATTGCACCGCCATAATTCCCATGGAACCCTTATTAATTGGGACGACACCGTTCGGTGTCCTAATCTCCCCAATTACTAACCCAAATTGCTGAACTAATTTCCTAACTTCTGACCCAATTACCCGATGCCTAACAATTCTTCCCCCATTAAGGTAGACTTGTCCTCAAGTCTGGAGCTCAGGAAACTGACTCTCAATGAATGTCTTGTCCTCCCATGAAGCTTCATCATAACTCAAATGGTTCCATTTCATCAGAAATTGTATGACAGGCCTCTCGTCGCGCATGATGACCCTTTTCTTCAAAATAACCTCTGGTTTTAGTGGACACTGATTACGTTCACCCAGCTCTGGCAACTGAGGAGAGCTCACTAAAGTGGCCCAATCTTCTTTTTCAACAGAAAAACATGAAACACCGGATGAATTCTTGCGTCTGGAGGTAGTTTGATCTTGTAGGCAACTGCTCCAACTTTCTCTTCTATCTGGAATGGACCATAGTACTTTGCAACCAAGGCATTTCCTCACTACCACAGATTGTTGTCTATATGGTTGCAGCTTCAAAAACACCCAATCCCCCTTATCAAAGCTTCTCTCAGTTCTGTGCTGGTCCGCAAAGTGCTTCATCCTCTGCTGAGCCTTTGCAAGATGATCCTTGATGCAGCTTGAAATTCTGCTTCTCTCTTGGACCATATCAGTCACTGCAGGCACCATCGAATCCAAATAGGGCCCAAGTGATAGTGGTGTAGGCTTGTAACCGAAGAGGGCTTCAAACGGAGTCATGTTCAAGCTAGAGTGGTAGGTAGAATTGTACCACCATTCCGCTAGTGAGAGCCATTTGCTCCACTGGGATGGAAGGTCACATGTCATGCATCTCAGGTAGCTCTCCACATATTGATTTAACCTCTCACTCTGACCATCCGTTTGAGGATGATAAGATAAGGTGTAGTGCAGTTCTATCCCCACCAACTTAAAAATTTCCTTCCAGAACACACTGGTGAATACCTTATCCCTATCAGTGATGATAGAGTATGGCAAGCCATGCAACCTGTAGATGTGGTCCAGGAATACTTGAGCAATGGACTTAGCTGTAAAAAGGTGAGTAAGCCGGATAAAATGTCCAAATTTGGTGAATTTGTCAATCACCACTAGGATAGTATCGTACCCCTGTGACTTGGGCAACCTTTCAATAAAGTTCATAGAAATGTGAAACCAAGCTTGCGTAGGAACAGGGATGGGTTGTAACAATCCAGGATAAGGGACATGCTCAGCTTTGTTCTTCTGGCAAATATCACAGCTCTGTACATATGCTATCACCCCCTGCTTCATGCCAGGCCAAAAGAATAGGGACTTGAGCTTCTGCCAGCAGTTCCTTTGGCCCGAGTGACCCCCTATAGCTGAGTCATGTAAAGTCTGGATTAGTTTGCTTCGGATGTTGTTAGCACCTCCTACGTATATCTTCCCCTGGTACTTAAGAATTCCATCCAGCAGGTTGTAGTCAGCATGTGAATTAGGATCCAGGATTAACTGGCTCATAATGTTTTGGCTTTGTGTATCACCTTCATAGCTCTTCTGTAATTCCTCCATCCAACCAGGCTGAACAGATATGATAGCCAAACAAGAGCCAAGCTCTTCCTGGTGTACAGTTGCATGCCTTCTGGATAAAGCATCTGCCACTTGGTTGTCAACGCCCTTCTTATACTCAATCTTATAATCCAACCCTAGGAGCTTAGTCATCCATTTATGCTGTATAGTAGTGTTCAGTTTCTGATCCAAGAGGTACTTCAAGGACTGGTGATCTGTTCTAATAATGAAATGATTGCCCACCAAATAATGCCGCCACTTGGTAACAGCCATCACCAAAGCCAAAAGCTCTTTTTCATAAACAGAAAGTCCCAAGTTCTTAACTGAAAGTGCTTTACTCAAAAAAAGCAATGGGGTGTCCTTCTTGCATAAAGACAGCTCCAATACCTCCCCCACTGGCATCAGTCTCCACAACAAAGAACTTATTAAAGCCTGGTAATTGGAGAACTGGAGCTGAGCACATCAATTTCTTTAAGTGTTCAAAGGAATCCTGTGCTTGATTGTTCCATTTGAAGCTGTCTTTCTTCAACAGTTCAGTGAGTGGCTTACACACAAGGCCATAGTGTTTGATAAACCTCCTGTAGTAGCCAGTAAGTCTAAGGAAGCCCCTCAGCTCTTTGACTGACTGAGATAAAGACCATTGGAGAATGCTACTGATCTTTGAAGAGTCCATGCTGACCCCCTTGTTTGTGATGGTGTGTCCCAAGTAGTCAACCTTCTTCTGAGCGAAGACACACTTAGATTTCTTAACATAGAGCTGATGCTTCCTCAGAATCTCAAATACAACTCTTAAATGTTGAACATGTGTATCCATGGTAGGACTGTATACCAAGATATCATCGAAAAAGATAAGTACAAATCTCCTCAAATATGGCTAAAACACTTGATTCATCAGTGACTGGAATGTTGCTGGTGCATTAGTGAGTCCAAATGACATGACTAGGAATTCAAAATACCCACAGTGAGTTTGGAAAGCTGTCTTGAATGTGTCTTGAGACTTGACTCTAATCTGGTGGTATCCAGCCGTGAGGCCCAGCTTTGTTTTGTAGACTGAGCCAGCTAATTCATCTAATAATTCATCCACATTAGGTATGGGAAATCTATCTTTGATGGTTAATTCATTCAAACTTCTATAATCCACACAAAAACGCCAAGTTCCTTCTTTTTTTTTGACCAACAATATAGGGGATGCAAACGGGCTGTTATTGTACTTGACTATCCCCTTCTGAAGCATTTCCGTCACCTGTTTCTCTATTTCCTCCTTATGGCAGTGTGGATACCTGTATGGCTTCAACTTGAAGGGTTGTGCATCTGGTTTCAGATGAATGGCGTGATCAACACTCCTGCTGGGAGGTAGGGAGCTTGGAGTCTGGAACACATCTTCAAATTCTTGGAGTATCTCCCTAACTCTCTGTGGGATAATTTCCTCTTTTCCTTCTGATTCACCTTTACAATTCAAGGTCATGCACATTTGTCTTTTGTATTCTATGAACGTCCTCAAATCCTTCCCTCTAATCAAGTCCATCTCACAGTCCTCAGCTTGTCCATGCAAGTGAATCTCACTTCCCTCATGGTGCAGTGATATCCTGAGTTGCTGAAAATCAAAGGTGATAGGACTAAAATGTGTCATCCAATCTACCCCTAATATTATGTCCCATCGGTCTAGCTCTATCACCTTTAAATCGAATTTGAAGTTATGTTGGTTGATTCTCCAGTGTACATTTGGACAGATAGCATTGCTAGTCACAGTGGTTCCATTTCCCATGATGACAGAGAATGGTTGTTCAACCCATTTGTAGTCAATATTCATCCCAATGACTTTCTCACTGTTAATGTAGCAATCAGAGCTACCAGTGTCTACCAGCATGAAAACCTTCTCACCATCTAGTATTCCTGTCAATGTAATTGTTTTCCTTTGCAAGGAATCCGACAATGCATGCAAGGACATTTCCATAGTTTGCCCTGGGTTACCAGTTTGTTCATCTTGTTCTCCATCGCATCCTCAAAAGCAGCATCTTCTTCTTCTTCTAGTATCATGCAGTTGACGTGTCCTAATGCACATTGGTGGCCAATGCTATATTTCTCTCCACACTTAAAGCAGAGTCCCTTACTTCTCCTATATTGTAGCTCCTGTGCTGAAATTTTCTTCAGCTCTCCGCTGTCCTCCTGTAATCTGTTACTGAACCTAGAGGTTTTGACAGTATTATTGGCAGGAACTCTATAAGTATTGCTACTTAAGGCTGAGGTATTTCCTCTTGATATTCCAAACCTATTCTCCCCAGATAGTTTGAAGTTTTCCTTGGAGTGTTTGTTCTGTACTTTGAGTGAGTACTCTTGCCACTGTGACAACTCAAAAGCCTCAACCAATGTAGCTGGTTTTAGCATTCTAATCATTGGTTTAATCTCTTCTTTTAAGCCACTAATGAAGTTGGAGATGAAGTAGTTCTCATCCAAGTTCCTGATCTTAATCAACATCAACGGTTTCAACTCTTCAAATTTTTCCTGATATTCCTCTATACTGCCTTCTTGTCTTAATTTGTTGAATTCCTCCACCACATCCTTACATATGCTATCTGCAAACCTCTTACATAATAGATCTCCAAATTCTACCCAACTCAATTTAGGTTTTCCAAGCTTAACACCTTGGAACCACTTATCAGCCTTCTCATCTAAGTACATTTCTATTATTTCTACCTTTTGGCGATCTAGGATTTGGTTGTTCATAAAGTATTTGTCACATTTTCACAGCCACTCTCTAGGATTGTCCCCAGTAAACAATTGTAAGTCTATTTTTGGTGGATTTGGAAGCTGGAACTTACCCCAATCTCGTTTGCAGGCATTCTGTTGTTCTATTTCAGGTCGCAACCTCTGATGATTTGGGGGTGTAGGAAGGAGTGGCGGCATATCCGCCATTATTCTTTCCTTTCTATCTGTGTTTTTGTCCTGCGTAGAGTTCATTTTAGATAGGAGTGCGCCGAACTTCTGTTCCAAGGATTTGCTGAAATTCTGTTCCATTCCGGTCAGCATATTCTCCATTTTTTTGTTGTTTTCTTCCAATTCTTTCTTCAAATTGTCCTTGAGCTATTGCTGCTCCGACTGATGGAACAACAGCGATTCCATCAATTCCTGGAGTTGGAGTTCTTGTCGCTTCACTTGATCTTCCAAGGTTCGGAATCTCGTACCTTTTGCCATAGAAATTGATTGTACTCCAAGGATCTAAGACTCTGATTACCAATTGTTAGGATCTGAGAGGTAAATTTCCCAGTTTGGTCTGATTATTGAAGGAGAGAAGGAAGAATGAGGAGAGAGTGCGAGAGAGGGAGGTGAGCAGAGGAGAAAGAGAGGAATGAGAAGGAGCAACTGAATTCTGTTATTACTTGCCAACTCTACATGTCTGGACCCCCTTTATTACCTTTCCTCTAATACGCTACTAACTGCCTTAACTAACAATTGCACCGCCATAATTCCCATGGAACCCTTATTAATTGGGATGATACCGTTCGGTGTCCTAATCTCCCCAATTACTAACCCAAATTGCTGACCCAATTTCCTAACTTCTGACCCAATTACTCGATGCCTAACAGAATCCTGTATTTTTTCAATACCTATTAAAAAAAAAAAAAACAGACTTAGAGCTAATTTGAAAACCGGAAATGGCCGGTTCAGCCGGCTTCCGTCTTTACTATGGAACCGGACCGGTGTCATGGCCTGAAAACGCTGGTTCGGGACAGGGGCAGAAGCAAAAGTACGTAGAAAAGTGATCAAAGCATTTGCCTGGCAGTATCCTCGTTCTTTCTCAGAATAGAAAAAGACGTACCTCATTTCATCTTAGCTTTCGCACATTTAAGCTGTTATTGCTGGATTATTTCTTTGGTGGGAATCTTCTCATAATCTAAGACAGATCGTCCCTTTTCGGTAAGCATCAAGGGATCTCTATTGATGATGAATGATCAAGCGTCATCTGACTTTGTTATTTGTTGATTATTTTGTTGATTATTCACTACTATTTACTGTCTCTAATTTCCCTTTAGTTGACCAAATGGAATATCATTGTAGATCCCCCATTGTTTGGAGTTAACCAATGCGATTCTCTTGGCAGCTTACTCTGCTGTAATTTTTGTGGGCTTGACTGTAATATAATCTTCATTGCTTGTTCACAAAGCTTGAGCTGTAATCGTGTGGATCGGACTACAAATACTGATTGATAGTGAAGATTTTACTTGAAACTAATCAGGAACCTTTTTATCGTTGGAATTAACCTTTGTTAGTCCTTTTGTTGACCTCGTCTATGTCAAATTTACTGTGGTTTTGGTTCTTTTAACCTCCTCTGAGAGTTCGTGACTTCTAAAGTTTCTATTTGATGAAAGTCCTTACCAACCAAAATCAGTGTAAATTTGGATTTCTGTGATTTCATTTACTTTTCAAAGTCTAAAATATACTCTAGTTTGGTTGCTTTACTTTTTAAATTCATTGCTTGATGGTAATATATAATCACACAGGTACTTACATGTGGTTGATCATTATGACTGCAGGTAAAAGTTTATATTTTTTTGATTCATAGATTTTGAGTTAATCATTGCATCCCAATGCAAAGCCTCCCTAGTCCAAACCAGAACATTGCTCAGCCAGCATCAGCAGCTCAGCGCAAGGTTCTGGTATATAACCCAGACTATCATGGTAAAAAATTTGGAAAGCTTTGGGTACTTGGTCCAAACTACAGGGCAAATTATGATAAATTTCAGGAGGGTATTAAAGAGAAAGCTCTTGTCCATGTACTATGCAACTCGCAATGTTTGCGATCAGCAATAATGGGTGCAATAGGAGATATTGAAACCCAAGTAAGGGCTGCTTATGCTGATGATGTGCTGGATGGTTTGACATCGGATGTGGTCCAAGAGATAATGGTAGTAGACGGCTGCTTTTTTCTCCTGTTGTCATTCTCAATTCTTGGTGCAAAACTAAAGTTCCCGGAGAACGATCTTGTTTTTGGCACAGGATGCGTCACTGAATACATGGGCATGTGGCTAGAGTCCATGTTCTTTGTTGGAAATCAAATCCCTTTCATAGTGCTTGAGAAACTTATGGATCTTAGTTTCTTTAAAGTACTTAAACAAACACTTAAATGTAAGCAGCCACTGGAATTGGGAAAAAGAACCTTACACAAGTTCTTGATTGTTGATCAGAATTCAAAACCAATGGACTTAATCCATTGCCTACAATCCATCATGCTTGGTCCAGAAGGTCGCTCAAACATAGGTGTTGCAAAAAAGGATGATGACATAGGGGACATTGGTACTGCGACCAAGTTATGCAAACATGGTGTTAAAATACGAAAGCTAGAAGGAGATTTGGGGATTAGAGGGATGCGTTATGAGTCCAATGCTTTTGGGGCTGTTTTATACTTGCCTGTATTGAGGGTTGACAGACACACAGGGCTCTTATTAAGGTGTCTTTTAAAGTATGAGATAGCTCAGGAACCTCAAGGGGTTGAACCTGAGGTAATTACTTTCTTTAAGTTTATTCGTGAGCTGATTCATACAACACAAGATAGGGAAGTCCTTGAGTCTGAAGAAGTTGTTCAAGGACAGTCAACAGACTTACTAGGACTTCTAGGAACTTTGGATGTCTTGGTTTCATCTGGCAATATGCACTCTATTAAAAGAGAAATAGTAGGAAATCGACCCTGGCAGTGGCGAAAGCCGCTAAAATGGATGTTTATTATTTCCTCTATTTTGACGTTAGCATTTGGTTTTATGCAAATGTACTATGGCATTCTTTCCTACTACAACCAGGGAAAGCCATGAGAGGTGATCTTACTGCATCCCAAAAGAACACTGACTGTGTTTGTTGCTGAAGAATAATGCCCATTAATTTTTGGGAAGGAAAGAGACATGGTTCATATTCTTCCTGTTGTTGCATGCAGAGGTTGCTTCCATGTTATCCATCCATTGGAGATATTGTAAGTCTAATCTTAATTTTGAAAAGATTTAAGGGCCTTTGATTATGCATTAGCCATTTTATGGAGAAATGTTTTGTTAAAGAGGTAAGCTGCGGCACTGATCTTTCTAACTGAGGCTGGAGCTGGGTAAGAGGAGACTTCAGTTTATTGGGATCTATCAGCCAGTCACATTAGGGCCTGTTGTATGTTGTTCAGCAAGTGTATTGTACTATTGTAAATTCGTTTGCTTCTCTCTCTATAGCCAGAGAAACCTACAAATGCCACGAGGCTGGCGCTGACCATGATGAGTCTTCGATTTTCAGAATTCATCATCTAATGGCAGTAGGCCTTTTCTACGTTGTTTAGCAATTATATTTCACACTAGTAAATTTTGCTCTCTCTCTCTCGGCAATTTATTCCACGGAGACCAAGCGCTGCTGAGTTTTATTTTTTATTTTTTTCTACTACATAGCAATTTTTTTTAATTTTTTTCTACCTACATAGTGTTAATTGAATTTGTAGCTTCGAACATTGAGTACATACTATACTAAGGACTTGATTCTACTCCCTGCTAAGATTCTAAGCTCAAGGACCCCTCATTCTCTCACTCTCTCGACTGAAGCTTTTCTCAATCAGTAGTTATTGTTTGCAATGGTGTGAAGTTCCTGTTTACCAGGGAATGGAGTATAATGAGGGTCAGTTTTCTGATCTCCTTCTTCTTTAAATTTCAGTTGTTTGCCTCCATGATATGTTTTTGTGGTGCTTTCCAGTATCCAAGATTGCCTCTCTTTGTGCTTTTGCTGCGTCTTTTTTAGGCAATGTTGCTTCTTTTTCTTGATGAAGTATATCAGCTTAGTACTATGGAAAGAGATTTTACTTGGATTTAGGATTCTTGAACTGAAAGGTCTCTAGATGGTTCTTTTATCTTGTTTATTTTTGTGTTTAGTTGTGGGCTCTTTTTTTTTTTTGGGGGGGGGGGGTGTGTGTGTATGTGTGTGTGTTCATTGAGTTTTCTTAGTTTCATTCTGTGGTTTGATGCCATAATACTTCATTTGTGAAAAGCACAGGGAACTAATTGCTGTTGAGGTGAATTTGTTTTAAGATTGTGTTTTACAGCTTAATTTATGTAATTTGATTCATTTTTCGTTAGTTTTATGATCTTATTCTTATTTTAGGTAATCATCTTGAATATAATGAGGTGGACAGTTTAGATGACTGTTTTCTTGTATCTACATGGAATTTGGCAAGGTATAGGTCTGGAGTTAATTTAAGCGTGCAAAAGCTTCATATTCTGACTACTGTACTTCAACATTATCACGTAACTCTGCTTATTTTCTCTGCTTATTTTCAATTTACTGTATGCATTCACATAAAATTCTCTGCTTGTATTACCTAGAAGTTCGAAGTGTCTCTTTCTTTACTGTTTTTGAATTTCAAAGTGTAGTTGAGACAAAATGTTCAACTTCCAATCCATAACAACTAAACAAATTACAGGTTCAGGCTCCGAGATTCCTATTTATACTTGCCCTGCTTCCACTATTCTGATCTTTGTACATGCTTCATTTGGCTTGTGTTCCATGATTCAGCTCTGTTCTTTCTGGTATTCTTGTCAGCTTGTACTAAGCATTTTGCTGATTTAAGCAACCAGTTTTGCTGACTTCTAGATATCAAAGCTAGAGAAACGTAGATGGATTTGAAGTTGATTATTAATATCTAAATCAGATAAAGCGTCTAAAGAAGTCTAGGTGTTTGATCTCCATTATTACATGCAGATCTTAGCTTCTTAGTTGGATTTTGTATCCTAAATGTGTGTGTGTTTTCATGCTTAAACATAAGATCCAAACAAGCTATCGAGGCATAGATGTTTTAGTAGTTTTACTTTTATAGATGTTCTACACACATTGTGGACCAGTAAGTATTACAACTTGTACAAAGGGCATACTACATAACTGTAGAAATTTTCTCTGTAAGCTGA